TTTGATGAGTTGTTGATGGCGGCCACTCTGACAGGTGTGAGGTGATACCTCATTGTTTTAATTTGCATCTCTCTCTGATTAGTGATGTTGAGCATTTCTTCATATGTCTCCTGGCCATTTGTATGTCCTGTTTGGAAAGGTGTCTATGCAGCTTCTCTGCCTATTTTTTAATTGGGATCTTTGTCTTCCTTTTGTGGAGTTGTATGAGCAGTCTATATATATTGGAAATTAACGCCTTATCTGATGTATCATTGGCAATTATGCTCTCCCATACAGTGAGTACCCTTTCCGTTTTGATGATTGTATCTTTCACTGTGCAGAAGCTTTTGAGTTTGATGTAGTCCCATGTGTTCATTTTCTCCTTTGTTTCTGCTGCCTCAGGTGATGTTTCCGTGGAAATTCCGCTACGTATGATGTCTGAAATTTAGTTGCCTACAGTTTCTTCTAGGATTTTTATGGATTCATGAGTCACATTTAAGTCTTTTATCCATTTTGAGTTTATTCTTGTGTATGGTGTAAGTTGATGGTCTAGTTTCATTTTTCTGCATGTAGCTGTCCAATTTTCCCAGCACCATTTATTAAAGAGGCTGTCCTTCCTCCACTGTATGCTCTTGCCACCTTTGTCAAATATTAATTGAGCATATTGCCTTGGGCCCATTTCTAGGTTCTCTGTTCTGTTCCACTGGTCTATATGCCTGTTCTTGTGCCAGTACCAGGCTGTTTTGATTACGGTGGCTTTGTAGTATAACCTGAAATCTGGTAATGTGATTCCTCCAACCTTGTTCTTCCTTTTCAAGATTGCTGTAGCTATTCGAGGACTTTTTTGATTCCATATGAACTTTTGAAGTATTTGTTCAAGTTCTGTGAAGTATGCCATTGGTATTTTGATGGGGATTGCATTAAATCTATAGATTGCTTTGGGTAGTATGGACATTTTAATGATGTTAATTCTCCCAATCCATGAACAAGGTATGTGCTTCCACTTTTTTATATCTTCCTCTATTTCTTTTTTCAATGACCTGTAGTTTTCTGTGAATAGGTCCTTTATTTCTTTGGTTAAGTTTATTCCTAGGTATGTTAATTTTTTTGATGCATTGTTAAATGGGATTGTTTTCTTAGTTTCTCTTTCTGTGAGTTCATCCTTGGTGTATAAGAATGCCATCGATATCTTGACGTTAATTTTGTATCCTGCTACTTTGCCAAATCATTTATTATGTCTAATAAAGTTTTGATGGAATCTTTGGGGTTTTCTACGTATAGTATCATGTCATCTGCAAATAATGCCAGTTTCACTTCCTCCTTTCCAATTTGGATCCCTTTTATTTTTTCTTCCTGATTGCTGTGGCTAAGACTTCCAGTGCTATGTTAAATAAGAGTGGCAAAAGTGGGCATCCTTGCCTTGTTCCTGTTCTTAAGGGAAATGCTTTTAGTTTTTGCCCATTGAGTATGACGTTGGCTGTAGGTCTTTCATATATGGCCTTTATTATGTCTAGATATGATCCCTCTGTTCCCACATTGCTGGGCATTTTTATCAGAAATGGATGCTGGATTTTGTCGAAGGCTTTTCGTTATCTATTGATATGATCATGTAGTTTTTATTCTTCATTTTATTTATGTGGTGTATCATGTTTATTGATTTGCAAATATTGGTGAGTCTAGCTAAGGTTCCATCAATCTTGTTTATCTTTAAAAAAAACCAGCTCTTTGTTTCATTGATCCTTTGAATTGTTTTTTTGGTCTCTATGTTGTTTATTTGTTCTCTGATCTTTACAATTTCCTTCCTTCTACTTGCTCTAGGGTTTTCTTTTTGTTTGCTCTCTAGTTCTTTAAGTTGTGAGGTTAAATAGTCTATTGGAGATTTTTCTTGTTTTTTGAGGTAGGCCTGTAGTGCTATGAACTTCCCTCTCAGAACTGCTTTCACTGCATCCCATAGATTTTGTGTTGTTCTTCATTTTCCTTGGTTTCCAGGAAGTTTTTGATTTCTTCCTTGATCTCCTCGGTGACCCTTCATTGTTTATTTATTTTAATTTATTTTATTTTATTTTTTTTAATCCTCACCCAAGGACATTTTTCCATTTTTTATTCAGATAAAGCAGGAGGGAGAGAGAGGAAGAGAGAGAGAGAGAAACATCGATGTGAAAGGGACACATCGAGTGGCCGCCACCCACATGACCCAACCAGGGCCGGGGACAAACCGCAACCGAGGTACGTACCCTTAGCGGGAACCGAACCTGGGTCTCTGTGGACCGCAGACTGATGCTCTAACCGCTGAGCCAAACTGGCCAGGGCGACCCTTCATTGTTTAATAACATGCTATTTAGCTTCCATGTGTTGAAATGTCTTTGTATGTTCTTCTTGCAATTGATTTCTAGTTTCATGCCATTGTGATTGGAGAAGATGCTTGATATGATTTCAGTCTTGTTAAACTTGTAGAGACTTAGTTTGTGCCCTAACATGTGGTCTGTCTTTGAGAATGTCCCATGTGCACTTGAGAAGAATGTGAATTCTGTAGTTTTGGGGTGTAATTCTCTGTAGATATCTATTAAATCCATTTGGTCTAATGCTTCATTTAGAGTCTCTCTTTCCTTGCTAATTTTTTGCCTAGAGGATCTATCCAGTGATGTCAGCGGGGTGTTGAAGTCCCCTGCTATGATTGTATTGGTATCGATTTTTCCTTTGAAGTCCTCCAGAAGATTTTTAATATATTTTGGTGCTCCTATATTGGGTACATATATGTTTATCAAGTTTATATCTTCCTGTTGGATAGATCCTTTCAACATTATGTAGTGGCCTTCTTTGTCTCTAGTTATGGCCTTCATTTTGAAGTCTATTTTATCAGATATGAGTATTGCTACCCCAGCTTTTTAAAATTTCCATTTGCTTGGAAGATTTTTTCCCATCCCTTCACTTTTAATCTATGTGAGTCTTTTGTTGTGAGGTAGGTCTCTTGTAAACAACATATGGATGAGTCATGCTTTCTTATCCAATCAACTTCTCTGTGTCTTTTTATGGGAGCATTCAATCTATTTACATTTAAGGTGATTATTGATATGTACTTATTTATTGCAATTTTTGTTTAGTGTGGTTCTATTTTTCTTTCCATTTCTCCTGCTAATTACAGCAGTCCTTTTAACATTTCTTGCTGTGCTGGTTTGGTGCTAATGTATTTCCTTAGCCTTTTTTTTTTTTTTTTTTTGTCTGAGAAGCTCTTTATTTGACCTTCTATTTTGAATGATAGCCTTGTTGGGTAGAGTAGTCTTGGATTCAGTTCCTTGTTTTTCACGACCTTGATTACTTCATGCCATTCCCTTCTGGTCTGTAATGTTTCTGTTGAGAAGTCAGCTGAGAGCCTTATGGGGTTTCCTTTGTAGGTAACCTGTTGCTTATCTCTTGGTGCTTTTAGGATTCTCTCTTTGTCTTTAATATTTGGCAGTTTGATTACTATGTGTCTTGGTGTGGGCCTGTTTAGGTTCTTCTTACTTGGGGCTCTATGTGCTTCTTGAACTTGAATGCCTTCTTCCTTCACCAAATTAGGAAAGTTTTCTGTCACTATTTCTTAAAATATATTCTCTAACTCTTGCTCATTTTGTTCTTCTTTGGGGACTACTATGATGTGAATATTATTACGTTTCCAGTTGTCCCACAGTTCTCTTAAGCTGTCTTCCTGTTTTTTAATTGTTTTTTCCTTTTGGTTTTCTGATTGGTTGATTTTTTCTACCCTGTCTTCTAATTCACTGATCCGGTCCTCAGGTTCCTCAACTCTGCTTTTTAGACCTTTCAATGTGTTTCCTCATATGTCGTTTTTCATTTCCAACTGGTTGATTCTCAACATTTCTATTACATGGTCCTCATGTCCTTACACATGCTGTTGAGCTTCCTCAAGATCATGGCTCTGAATTCTAGTTCTGTTAACTTGCTTAAATGCACCTCATTTATCTCATCTTCAGTAGAGGTCTCTTGTTCTTTCATTTGGCTTTTGTTTCTGTTTTTCACCATTTTGGCTATCACAGTGGGCTTTAGAGTCTGCCAAATTTTCTCTGTGGGTGTTGGTGTTCTGCTGTTTGTGGCTCCCCGTCCTGGGTTTGGATGAGGCAGGGAGGACCCACTTTAACCACCACTGTCATCTTAACTTTCCTCTAGCTTTTTTTTTGCCTGGAGGCTATTAGTAGAGGTCACCTGAAGAACCTTGGTTTCTGAGTTGCCTGAAAAACTCCCTCAGGTGCTCAGTGTAAGAGGATTTCCTGAGGGTGGGGCAGCTGCTGGTTGTTAATGGGCATCAGTTAGCATTTCAATGGCCATCAGGTGGGGTTGAATCTCTGAGGGAGGGGCCGCCGCCTCTTCCCAGGGCCCAGGGAAGGAGTAAGATGACCACAGTCCTGCGTGGCTGCACTCAGCAAAAGCTCTGAGCACTCTCCAATTCCCAAGTGTCCCCACACAGTTCTAGTCCAGTCTGCCTTCCCTTTGCCAGAGCCCAAGGTGTCGTCTTAACTTTCCTCTAGCTTTTTTTTTTGCCTAAATTTGCTGCCAATTTAGCCTCTGTCCAGACTCTGCATCATGGACCCACCTGGGACTTTTAACCCGATGGTGCTGCTCCCAGCTAAGGGCGGCCGAGTCTGCAGCATCAGCCTTAACCGCGGTCACAGCGGAGGCGGCAGCAGCTTCCCGCTGAACCCCTTGGTCTCAGCCGAGTCTGTGCAGCACCAGCCGAGGGCTTAGCACGCAGCCAAGGCGGCAGCAGCTTCCCGCCGAGCCCCCTGGTCACAGCTGAGTTCGCTGGTCCCAGCCCAGGCCGCTGTGTCCTCGCAAGCCTACCAGGATTGAGTCAGTGTCCCTGGTTATGTGGTCCTCCAGGCTGCCTTTCAGTTGCTTCTTCCTGACGGTTTGTCTTTATTTTCATTGTAAATCCAGTTTGTTCCTGGGAGATGGTCTGTGTAGCTCCATTCACTCTGCTGCCATTTTTTTGACCCACAACAGATATTATTATCTTCATTTGCCAGACAAGGAAACAGAGGCTCAGAGAAGTCATACAGTGTCTCAAGGTCACACAACTGGTAAGTGCCATGGAAATGGGTATGGAGCTGGCATTAGAAGCAAAGATGGCAACTTCAGTAGCTTCTGCCTGAAAGACTGACCAGCTAACTAGGAGCCAGGGGTTGGTAGAGTGACCAACATTTCCCTGTCCAGGGAAGCAATAGATCTTTTTCTCTTGTCCTGGTTATTCCTGATTATCATCTGTCCACATAGCAGAATGCATCAAAGATACTGCCTAAGCAAATTCCTTCTCTGCCCCTCAATCCTGGCTTATTTCCTCCTCTGGCATGACAGAGTGCAATGGACATTCTAGTCTTCCTAGGCAGATGCCTATTTGGCCCATCACTCAGAACAAGGGAGGTCTGTGCTCCATGTCATTGAGGGGCTGGCATATTTCCTATCAGGATGGCATATTTCCCATCAATGGACCCAGAGGAGGGAGGAAGAATGTGTGTTTTCTTGTTGTTGAGCAAAGATCTTTTTGTTGTTCCCTCCTGACAACTTGTCTGCAGGTTCTTATCTCAGGCACTACATTCTCTCAGGATCCAGGGCTGATTGTACTAGAAGCTGCCTTTCTGTATGCATAGCACAAGCATGGTTTCCGTGGGAACATTTCATAGTGAGGATGCTAAGATTCTGGGCTCTGTGGCCTTGGATAAACAATGAATCAGATGCTTCTGAGAAGTCCAGAACCTTTCTTCTACCTTCTCTAATGCTGTTTACAGTCCCTCCCACCAAACATACAAAGATCAAGTGAAAGAAATTAAGTCAATTCAGCTTCAATACATAGAAAAAACACCTTTTACTTTTTTTTTTTATCTTCACCCTGGGACATTTTTGCATTTATCTTCAGATAGAGTGGGAGGGAGAGAGGGAGGGAGGGAGAGGAGAGGAACATCAATGTGAGAGAGACACACTGAGTAGTTGCCACCCACACGACCCCAACTGGGGCCAGGGACAAACTGCAACAAAGGTACATGCCCTTAGCGAGAACTGAACCTGGTACTCTCTGGTCTGTGGGCCGCCACTCTAACCGTTGAGCCAAATTGGCCACGGGCCACCTTGTGTTTACTTAATACACCAGGTATGTGTGTGTTTTAAAAACTCACATCTGTCAAATTCATTTAGAAGTACAAAGAATCCTGGTAAACAATTCCAACAAGGGACCACTGAGCTTCCTACAGGGGTTTGGGGTGACTGTGGCTTCTCTCTGATACCTTGTTTGCTCAGTCATTGCCTGATTTAGTATATGCGGCAGTGCTGCTCCTCAGCCAAGGACTCATTCATTTGTTCATACTTCCAACATTATTTACCGAGCACCTACCAGAGCCAGGTACTGCACCATCAACTGGGACCACAAAGAACACTTAAGGAACTCACAGCTTAGTAAGGAAGACAAATAGTGGACAAACGATAAATTATAGCTGAATTGGACCTGAAGCAGGAGGAGTTCAATTGAGCAAGTCCAGCCCCACATGTTATATACATCAACTATCAAGACATTTTTGTTGAAAAAAATTTAATTAAAATGAAAAAAATTAAAGAAAAGAAAAGACATTGTTTAATGGTCAGCCCTTTACTTCCAGGTGTGGTGACCTTTGGGTACTTTGGTTCTATAGTCAGAGGAGAATGGCCTTTCTCTTTCTAGGTCTCCTCCTAAAGATTAGAACCTGCCATTGACTTTTTATTGGCTGCGTTATGGCTGTCTCCCATTGGCTGAGCTGTTAATGGGCAAGGACTCTCCTTCCTCCTCCTGAGGTAGTAAAGTAGTGTCACTTTCTCTCTGAGATTCAGGTACAGCTATTTCTGTTGGGGTCAGCAGTGCATGTTGAGTGACACATACATGAGAGTTCTCTCTTCTAGTCTCCTGACTCTATTGTAAATGAGGTTTCTGTTTATTAATTTTCACACCTGTGTTGATGGTAAGAAACATCCAAACATGTGGATAATTTTTTTTTTAATTCTCACCTGAGGATATTTTTCTATTTATCTTCAGATAGAGTGGGAGGGAGAGAGAGAAAGAGAGAAACATCGGTGTGAGAGAGACACATCGATTGGTTGCTTCCTGCAGAACCCCGACCAGGGTCAGGGACCAAACCACAACCAGGGTATGTGCCCTTGACCAAAATCAAATCCATGACACTTGTTCCATGGGCCAATGCTCTAACCATTGAACCAAACTAGCCAGGGCTGTAGAGAATTTTTGTGAGTTTATTTGAGCCAAAATGACGACGGTTGCTAGAAAGCAAAATCTCAACAAATTGAGAAAATGTTCTGTAGAATGGCAGTTTTGCAGCTTATTTTAGAATCAAAGGAGAAGATGTAAGGGCAGTTACATGAAATCCATTGGTGGAAGATTAAGAGGGTGAGAGAAAGCAAAGCAGGGAGATCTCTGGGATTAGATAAAAGTAAAACAGAGACACACATACTCCTTTTACCTTGGTAGGTACAGGATAGTTAACAATCAACAATTACAGCACAAAGAGATGGTGTTTGGGGAACAAGATACGATAAGGGATTCTGTGGTCTCTGGTGTGGTGGGTGTGTCCTGAGGGGTTTGGAAAGAAGATTGATTACTCAGACGTTTCAAAGATATGTTATCTTCGATGCAAAAAGACAATAGACAAGATCACATAGGTAAAGTCTGACCTTTGTCAAGGAAGCTACTGGCCTAGGACATTTTAGTTAGGAAATTTATGTTTAGACCATCCTCTATGGTTACTTTGGGTCTCTGAGTTTGTAATGCCACCATGCAGGCCTTCCCTGAACTTGTCAGGTTTTGTATGTCCACACCAGCATAGAAAAATAGCTCTTTTGACACAAATGGAAATAACATGGCAACAGGCAGAGCTGGAGTGAGAGTGTGAGGGGGTGACCATGTATGAGAGAGAGTGTACATGGGTGTGAGTGTAGGTGGGCATCTGCCTGTCAGTGGGGAAAACCAGGGTAGTTTGGGTGCTCCAGGCAGAGGGAGCTGCCAGCTGCAGAAGCGTACTCCCCGGCCAGGCATTTCTCCCCACTTGAGATCAGAGAGTGTACCATTTTGGAGTATCCATAGGGGTCCCCTGGGTAGGAGGCTACAGGAAACAGCAGAGATCCAGCACCTGGAAGCCACAGATAGGCATGCCCAGCTCCACCGCCTCTCCCCTAGCAGCAAAGGGCTGTGATTTCCACGGATCCACCAGAAGCAGAGGAGCCCGCTGCTCCTGCAGGACCCACCAGCAGCAGAGGGCCCAACCACTCCCACAGGATACACCAGTGGCAGAGGGACCCACCAGCAGAAGAAAGTTACTAGCCCCATCATAGCTATGAGCTGCTAGAACCACAGGTTCCACCACATCGAGAGCTGCTGTCCCACCAGCCCCACTGTGGCAGAGAGCCACTGAACCTGCTGCTGCTGCCACTGTCAACAAGAGCTACTGGACCAGCCACAAAAGCTGCCAACCTTGCTGCAAGCAACTGGCCTTGCTGCCACAACTGCCACCAAAAGCCCTAGCACCCCCAGATGCATGACCTGATGTGATGCGATGCCCCTGGATGCACCGACATGCTCCCATGACCCAACTCACCTCATCTGGCCTCAGGCCATGGACTGATAAAATGGTGAGACAAAGAAACAACCCCCAAATGAAAGAAAAGGAGGAATCACCAGAAAAGCAACTAAATGAAATGGAGGAAAGTAATTTATCAGATAAAGAATTCAGAGTAATTGCTATAAGGGTGCTCAAACAACTTTGTGAGAATTTACAAGCAACTCAATGAAAATTATAAAGAACTCAATGGGAACTAGATCAGCATGAAAAAAGATGTAGAAGCTATGAATAAGAGTCAAACAGAAATAAAGACTGACATAGCTGAAATAAAGAATACCCTGGAAGGATACAATAGTAGATTTGAAGAAGCTGAGGACCAAATCAGTGAGTTAGAAGACAAGGTAGAAAAACACACCCAATTAGAACAGCAAATGGGGAAAAAATTAAAAGCAGGAGGAGAGTTTAAGGGAGCTTTGGGACAACATGAAACATAAACATTCACGTCATAGGGATACAAGAAGGAGAAGATTCGGAGAGAGAAATAGAGAACCTGTTTGAAGAAATAACAATAGAAAACTTCCTGAACCTGGTGAAGAAAAAAGTTACACAAGTTCAGGAAACACATAGAGTTCCAATCAAGATGAACCCAAAAGACCCCATACCTAGACATATCATAATGAAAATGGTAAAGACAAAGAAAGAATCTTAAAGGCAGCAAGAAAGAGACAGAAATTTACCTACAAGGTAGCTCCCATCAGACTGTCAGCTGATGTCTCAATAGAAACACTTGAGACCAGAAGGGAGTGGCATGAAGTATACAAAGTGATGAATAGCAAGGGAATGAAACCAAGATTACTCTATCCAGCAAGGCTATCATTTAAAATTGAAGGTGAAGTAAACAAACAAACAAACAAAAAGGCTAAAGAAGTTTATTACCAACAAACAAGGACTGCAAGAAATGCTAAATTAATATTTAATAATTAATATTTACAAAACATTTCACCCAAAGGTGCAGAATATACATTCTTCTCAAGTGTATACAGGACATTCTCAAAGATAGACTACATGTTTAAGACACAAATTAAGTCTTAAGAAATTCAGGAAGACTGAAATCATATCAAGCATTTTCTTTCTTTCTTTCTTTCTTTTTTTTTTTTTTTTATCCTCACCCGAGGACATTTGTCCATTTTTTGTACAGATAGAGTGGGAGGGAGAGAGAGGAAGAAAGAGAGAGAAACATCGACGTGAAAGGGACACATCGAGTGGCTGCCACCCGCATGACCAACCAGGGCCGGGGACAAACTGCAACCGAGGTACGTGCCCTTAGCGGGAACCGAACCCGGGTCTCTCTAGACTGCAGGCCGACTCTCTAACCACTGAGCCAAACTGGCCAGGGCTCAAGCATTTTCTTGAATCACAATGGCATGAAACTAGGAATCAATTACAATAAAAACACTCAAAAATATTCAAACACATGGATGCTAAATAGCATATTATTAAACAATGAATGGGTCCAATGAAATGAAGAAATCAAAAATTTCCTGGAAACTATTAAAAACATACAACGCCACAAAATTTATGGGACACAGCAAAGGCAGTCCTGAGAGAAAAATTCAAGCATTACAGGCCTACCTCAAGAGAAATGAAAAATATCTAATAAAATATCTAACCCTACAACTTAAAGAATTAGAAAGAGAACAAAAATAAAAACCCAGAGAAAGTAGAAATAAGAAAATGATAAATATCAGAGTGGAAATAAATGACATAGAGACTAATAAAAACATTACAAAAAATCAATGACACCAAGATCTGATTATTTGAAAACATAAACAAGATTGATAAACTTTTAGCCAGATTCACCAAGAAACAGAGGACCCAAATAAATAAAATCAGAAACAAAAGAGGTGAAGTAACAACCAACACCACAGAAATACAAAGGATTGTAAGAAAATACCATGAACAATCATATGGCAACAAATTGGACAACCTAGGCAAAATACACAAATTCCTAGAATCATATAAATTCAACAAGGAAGAGTCAGAAAACCTGAACAGAAAAATAACAACAAAGGAAATTTAAGCAGTAACCAATAAACTCACAGCAAACAAAAGCCCTGGTTCAGATGGATTCATAGGGGAGTTTTATCAAATATTTTTAAAGAAAAAGTAACAGAGACTTACGGTCAAGATGGCAGCGTAGGTAAACGCGGTATCACGTCCTCCCACAACCACATCAAAGTTACAACTAACCTACAGAACAACAATCATTCAAAACCACCTGAAATCAAGCTGAATGGAAGTCCTACAACTACGGAATTAAAAAAAAGCAGCTACATCCAGACTGGTAGGAGGGGCGGCGGCGGCGGCGGCGAGACAGGCTGGTCCCACACCCAAGTGTGGCGGATAAAAATCAGGAGGCTCCCGCGTCTGGGAAGGTCATTCCTGAGGAATGAGGGGTCCCCGTCCCACACCGGGTGCCCCGCTCAGGGTTCCAGTGCCAGGAAGAGAAGTCCCCATAACTTCTGGCTGGAAAAACCAACGGAAACTAAGGTTCAGGGAAGCTGAGGTGGCTGGAACCCCAGGCAGCTCCCTAAAGGGCCCGCACATGGACTTATCAGACTCTCTCCCTCTAAGCTTGGATGGGAGGCAGCGCAAGGGGCACCGGAGAGATACAGGGAAGAACTGAGCTATTTGGCACTGGAGCGAGGGCTGGAGAGGGGGCTTCCTCAGGGACAAACATGCTGTAAGAGGCCTTTGTTTCTTTGGTGAGCCCTTCCCGGGGGCCCCGCCCCACCCCACACAACTTTCAAGCCCACCCAAGCTGTTGCCACTTGCTTAACCATAGGATTGGCCTGTCTTGGATTCTGCTTCAGGTTTTTCCTAAATTCTTTCAAACGAGCAGCATCGGGTCTCAGCGAGCCCCATACCTCTCATTAAGTAATACACAGAAACAAACACAGGGAGGCAGCCAAAATGAGGAGACAAAGAAACAGGTCCCAAATGAAAAAACAGAACAAAACCCCAATAAAAGAACTAAGCGAAATGGAGATAAGCAACCTAACAGATACTGAGTTCAAAATACTGCTTATAAGGATGCTCAATGAACTTAGTGAGAACCTCAGTGAACTTAGGGAGGGCCTCAAGAGCATAAAAAAGGACCAGTTAGAAATCATGGATACACAGTTAGAATTGAAGGAGGCAGTAACTGAAATAAAGAATAATTTACACAGCTTCAATAATAGAGTATGTAAATCCAAGGAGCAAACCATCGATTTGGAATATAAGGAAGCAAAAAATGCCCAATCAGAACAGCTAAAAGAAAAAAGAATCCAAAATAATGAGGATAGTGTAAGGAGCCTCTGGGACAACTTCAAGCGTGCCAACATTCGCATCTTGGGGGTGCCAGAAGGAGAAGAGAGAGAACAAGAAATCGAAAACCTGTTTGAAACAATAATGGCAGAAAACTTTCCTAACTTGGTGAAGGAAACAGACATACAAGTCCAGGAAGCACAGAGAGTCCCAAACAAGATGAACCCCAAGAGGCCCACACCAAGACACATCATCATCAAAATGCAAAAGGTTCAAGACAAAGAGAGAATCTTAAAAGCAGCAAGAGAAAGGCAGCTAGTTACCTACAAAGGAGTTCCCATTAGGCTGTCAGCTGATTTCTCAAAAGAAACTTTGCAGGCCATAAGGGAGTGGCAAGAAATATTCAGAGTGATGAAAACCAAGAACCTACAACCAAGATTACTCTATCCTGCAAAGCTGTCATTTAGAATCGATGGACATATAAAAACTTTCCCAGACAAGAAAAAGTTAAAGGAGTTCATCACTCTGAAACCATTATTATATGAAATGATGAAGGGTCTTTTTGAAGAAAAAGATAAAATATATGAACAAACAAAATGGCAATGAATACATATCTATCAACAATGGAATCTACAAAATGAACAGGAAGAACAGAAACATTCTCATAGATACAGAGAACATTTTGTTGGTTGCCAGTTGGGAAGGGGGTTGGGGGAATGGGTGAAAAAGGTGAAGGGATTAAGAAGCACAAATTCATTGCTAGACTGACAAACCTCAAAGGGAAAGGGGTTGGGGGGATGGGAAGAAATAAACCAAAGAACTTATATGCATAACCAATGGACACAGACAATAGTGTGGGAAAAGGTGGGAGGGGGGCGGAGTGGGGAGGAGGGGGTCAATGGGGGAAAAATGAGGAACATCTGTAATACATTTTACATGCAACAATAAAGATTTGGAAGAAAAAAAAAGAAAAAGTAACACCTATTTTCTTTAAACTATTCAAAAAATTCAACAGGAAGAAAGACTTCCAAGATCTTGTTATGAGGACAGCATAATTTTAATTCCAAAACCAGGTAAAGACACTACAAAGAAAGAAAATTGCAGGCCAATATCCCTGATGAATATAAGATGCCAAAATCCTCAACAAAATATTAGCAAACTGGATTCAGCAATATACTAAAAAAAATATTCACCACAACCAAGTGGGATTTATCCCAGGGATGCAAGGATGGTACAATAGTCACAAATCAATAAATGTGATACATCACATAAACAAAATGAAAGATAAAAATCATATGATCATATCAATAGGTGTTGAAAAAGCATTTGACAAAATCCGGCACCTATTTTAATAAAACCCCTTAGCAAAGTGGGAATAGAGGGATCTTACCTCAAAAAATAAGGGCCATATATGACAAACCTATAGCCAACATCATACTCAATGCACAAAAATTTAAAAAAATTTTCTTAAGGACAGGAACAAGACAACAATGTCCACTTTCACCACTCTAGTTCAACATACTGCTAGAAGTCTTAGCCACAATGATTAGACAAGAAAAAGAGATAAAAGACATCCAAAATGAAAAGAAGTAAGTGAAATTGTCATTATTAGAAGATGACATGATGTTGTACATTTAAAAACCTAAAAACTCCACCAAAAAAAACTAGATTTAATAAATGAATTTGGCAAAGTAGCAGGATACAAAATTAACATACAGAAATTGATGCCATTTTTATACACCCAGAATGAACACTCAGAAAGAGAAACTAAATAAACAATCCCATTATTCATTGCAACAATAATAACACAAAGATATCTTGGAATAAACTTAACTGAGGAAGTAAAAAACTGGGTCTCAGAAAACTACAGGATATTGAAAAAAGAAGTAGAGCCTGGCTGGTGTGGTACAGTGGACTGAACATTGTCTGATGGATTGAGAGGTCCTGGTTTGATTACCAGTCAGGGCACATGCCCAGGTTTCCAACTCGATCCCAGTAGGAAGCATGCAGGAGGCAACTGATTGATGTAACTCTCTCATGTTGACATTTCTATCTCTCTCTCCCTTCCTTTCTCTCTAAAAAATCAATAAAAACAGATTGTTTTTAACTTAATTTTCTTTTATCCTCACCCAAGGACATTTTTGCATTTATCTTCAGATAGAGCAGGAGGGAGAGAGGGTGAGAGAGAAAGAAACATCAACGTGAGAGAGACATATTGACTGGTTGCCACCCACACAACCTCAACTGGGGCCAAGGACAAACTGCAACCGAGGTACCTGCCCTTAGTGGGAACCAAACCTGGGTCTCTCTGGTCTATGGGCCAACACTTTAACCATTGAGCCAAACTGACCAGGGCAATAAAAACATATTTTAAAAAAAGAGAGAGAGAGAGAGCAGAGCGCGGCTGTTGGAATCTGGTGAGGCAGAGCCGCGATGTTCCGTATTGAAGGCCTCGCGCCGAAGCTGGACCCCGAGGAGATGAAACGGAAGATGCACGAGGATGTGATCTCCTCCATACGGAATTTCCTTATCTATGTGGCCCTGCTGCGAGTCACTCCTTTTATCTTAAAGAAATTGGACAGCATATAAAGATTGAACATCAAATGTGAATGCATGATATGAAGAATCTGGTTTCTACTCTGCATATGAATCTGCAAATGAATAGGCTCAGAAAGATGTAAGAGACTCTTTGAATGGACATAAAACTTCTACTTGTTTAAGAGCAAGTTTGGTTGTGAAAACTGACCTTCATAGCTAAAATAGAAAACTATTTGGGAAGTATGAAAAGACATTTTTTTATGCCTGTGATATTCAGCTTCCATGAATGTTGGTGTAATTGTAAATAATGTCAAACTCCATTTTCTGGCAAGTATTAATTATATAAGGGAATTACGTCTGTAGTGGCACTGTCTTGTCAGTCATTTCTGTTGACCTTTTTACTTTTGCCTGGATTATCTTTGTTGAAAAGATCCTTATGATTAGTTATGTTTTATGGAAGCCAGCACACAACCACAACGTTTAAGCACAGGACCATTAATCTATATTTTTAATAAATGTACCAATTAAGAAAAAAGAAAAAAAGAAATAGAGAAAGATATAAAAAGTGGAAGCATATACCATGTTCATGGATTGGAAGAATCAACATCATTAAAATGTCCATACCACCCAAAGTAATCTATAGATTCAATGCAATCCCCATTAAAATACCAATGGCATATTGCACAGATCTAGAACAAACACTCCAAGAGTTGGATTCCAAAATGGCAGCAGAGTGAATGGAAGCTACACAGACCATCTCCCAGGATGAAACTGGAATTACAACAAAAATAAAGACATATTGTCAGGAAAAAGCAACAGAAAAGCAGCTTGGAGGACCATATAACCAGGGACACCCATCAATCCTAGTAGGCTTGCAGAGGCCCTAGAGGGAGCCTGGGAGCTCACAGACAGCAGTGGCCTTAGCTGTGAGCAGCACCCTCGAGGTTAAATTCCCAAGTGGCTCCACAGCGCACAGCCGAGAGAGAGGATAAAATAGCCACAGCCATTCATCTTGGGCTATGGCAGAGGGAGGGCGGACTGGACTGGAATTGTGTGGAGACACTTGGAGTTTGGAGGGCACTCAGAGTTTTGCTGAGCTGCAGCCACGCAGGACAGTGGCTATCTTACTCCTTCCCAGGGCTCTGGGGAGAGGCAGCAGACCCTCTCTCGAAGATTTAACCACACCTGGTGGACATTGAAATGCAAATTGAGGCCCATTAACAACCAACATTTGCCACACCCTTGGGACATCCTCTTATGCTGAACACTTGAGGGAGTTTCTCATTAAACTGAGAAGCCAAGGCTCTTCAAGTAACCACTACTGATAGCCTCCAGGCAAAAAATTAGAGGATAACTAAACCATTCCTAGGCTAGCAACTCTAACCAAGAAAGTAAGACTTGACAGTGGTGTTTAACGTGGGTCCTCCCTGGCTCATACAAACCCAGGAGAGGGAGCCACAAACAACAGAACACCAACAACCACAGGGAAAAATTGGCAGGCTCCAAAGCCCACTGTGATGGCCAAAAAGGTGAAACACAGAAACAAAAACCAAATGAAAGAACAAGACACCTCTACTAAAGATGACATAAATGAGGTGCAGTTAAGCTAGTTAACAGAACTAGAATTCAGAGACACGATCTTGAGGAAGCTCAACAGCATGTGTAAGGACATGAGCACCATGAATAAAGACATAGAAATGTTGAAAATCAACCAGTTGGAAATTAAAAACCACCAAGAAGAAATGAAGAATGACATATCAGAAATAAAGAACACATTGGAAGGTCTAAACAGCAGAGTAGAGGAACCTGAGGACTGGATCAGTGAATTAGAAAACAGGGTAGAAAAAATCAACCAATCAGAAAACCAAAAGGAAAAAACAATTAAAAAACAGGAAGACAGCTTAAGAGAACTGTGACACAACTGGAAAAGTAATAATATTCGCATCATAGGAGTACCCAAAGAAGAATAAAATGAGCAAGGGTTAGAGAATATATTTGAAGAAATAGTGACAGAAAACTTCCCTAATTTGGTGAAGGAAGAAGGCATTCAAGTTCAAGAAGCACATAGAGCCCCAAGTAAGAAGAACCTAAACAGGCCCACACCAACACACATAGTAATCAAACTGCCAAATATTAATGACAAAGAGAGAATCCTAAAAGCACCAAGAGATAAGCAACAGGTTACCTACAAAGGAAACCCCATAAGGCTCTCAGCAGACTTCTCAACAGAAACATTACAGGCCAGAAGGGAATGGCATGAGGTAATCAAGGTCATGAAAAACAAGGATCTGAATCCAAGACTACTCTACCCAGCAAGGCTCTCATTCCAAACAGAAGGTCAAATAAAGAACTTCTCAGACAAGAAAAGCTTAAGGGAATACTTTAGCACCAAACCAGCACTGCAAGAAATATTAAAAGGACCACTGTAATTAGCAGGAGAAATAGGAAGAAAAATAGAACCACACTAAACAAAAATGTCAATAAATAAGTACATATCAATAACCACTTTAAATGTAGATGGATTGAATGCTTCGATAAAAAGACACAGATAGCTGATTGGATAAGAAAGCATGACTCATCTATATGTTGTTTACAAGAGACCCACCTCACAACAAAAGACTCACATAGGTTGAAAGTGAAGGGATTGAGAAAAAGTCTTCCAAAAAAATGGAAAGAAAAAAAAAGCTGGGGTAGCAATACTCATATCTGATAAAATAGATTTCAAAATGAAGGCCATAACTAGAGACAAAAAAGGCCACTACATAATATTGAAAGGATCTATCCAACAGGAAGATATAACCTTGATAAACATATATGCACCCAATATAGGAGCACCAACATATATTAAAAATCTTCTGGAAGACTTCTAAAGAGAAATCGATAGCAATACAATCACAACAGAGGACTTCAACACCCCACTGACGTCACTGGATAGATCCTCTAGAAAAAAATCAGCAAGGAAAAAGAGGCTCTAAATGACCAAATGGATTTAATAGATATCTACAGAGAATTACACCCTAATACTACAGAATTCATATTCTTCTCTAGTGCACATGGGACATTTTCCAAGGTAGACCACATGTTAGGACACAAACTACATCTCTACAAGTTCAAGAAGATTTAAATCATATCAAGCATCTTCTCAGATCACAATGGCATACAACTAGAAATCAACTGCAACAAGAATACTCAAAAACATTTGAACACAGGAGGCTAAACAGCATATTATTAAACAACTAATGGGTTACCAAGGAGATCAAGGAAGAAATTGAGAACATCCTGGAAACCAATGAAAATGAACACACAACAACACAAAATCTATGGGATGCAGCAAAAGCAGTTCTGAGAGGGAAGTTCATAGCACTACAGGCCTACCTCAAGAAACAAGAAAAATCTCTAATAGACTATCTAACCTCACAACTTAAAGAGTTAGAAAGCAAACAAAAAGAAAACCCCAGAGAAAGTAGAAGGAAGAAAATAGTAAAGATCAGAGCATAAATAAATGACATGGAGACCATAAAAACAATTCAAAGGATCAATGAAACAAAGAGCTGATTTTTCAAAAAGATAAACAAGATTGATGGACCCTTAGCTAGACTCACCAAGAAACAAAGAGAGAGAACCCAAATACACAAAGTCAGAAATGAAAGAGGAGAAGTAACAACTGACACCACAGAAATACAGAAGATCATTAACAACTACTATGAACAATTATATGGCAACGGATTCAACAATCTAAGTGAAATGGACAAATGTCTAGAAACATATAGTCTCCCTAAACTGGACCGGGAAGAGATAGGAAATTTGAACAGACTAATAACAACCAAGAAAACTGAAGACGTAATCAAGACTCTCCTAGCAAACAAAAGCCCGGGCCCAGATGGCTTCACGGGGGAGTTTTACCGAACATTCAAAAAAGAACTAACACCCATTCTTCTCACACTATTTCAAAAAATTCAAGAAGAAGGAAGACTTACAAACTCATTTTATGAGGCCAGCATAATTTAAATTCCAAAACCAGAAAAAGATTACAAAGAAAGAAAACTGCAGGCAAAATCCCTGATGAACATAGACGTCAAAATCCTGAGGAAAATACTAGCAAATAGGATCCAGCAATACATCAAAAAAATTATTCACCATGACTAAGTGCAATTCATCCCAAAGATGCAAGGCTGGTACAATATTTCAAAATTAATAAACATGATACTCCACATAAATAAAATGAAGAATAAAAACCACATGATCATATCAATAGATGCTGAAAAAGCCTTCGACAAAATCCAGCATTCATTTCTGATAACAATGCTCAGCAATGTGGGAATAGAGGGATCGTATCTTGACATAGTAAAGGCCATATATGAAGGACCTACAGCCAACATCATACTCAATGGGCAAAAACTAAAAGCATTTCCCTTAAGAACAGGAACAAGACAGGGATGCCCACTTTTGCTGTTCTTATTTAACATAGCACTGGAACTCTTAGCCACAGCATCAGACATAAAGAAAAAATAAAAGGGATCCAATTTGGAAAGGAGGAAGTGAAACTGTTATTATTTGCAGATGACATGATACTATACGTAGAAAAACCCCAAAACTTGATAATAAATGTACTCAACTTAATAAATGAATTTGGCAAAGTAGCAGGATACAAAATTAACGTCCAGAAGTCGATGGCAGTCTTATACACCAATGATGAAGTCACAGAAAAAAAAAAAAAAACTTAGAAAACAATCCCATTTACCATTGTGGCAAAAAAAATTAAGATACTTAGGAATAAACTTAACCAAAGAAATAAAGGACCTATTTGCAGAAAACTACAGGTCATTGAAAAAAGAAATAGAGGAAGATATAAAAAAGTGGAAGCACATACCTTGTTCATGGATTGGAAGAATTAACATCATTAAAATGTCCATATTACCCAAAGCAATCTATAGATTAATGCAATCCCCATCAAAATACCAACAACATACTTCACAGAACTAGAACAAATATTTCAAAAGTTCATATGGAACCAAAAAAGACCTCGAATAGCCACAGCAATCTTGAAAAGGAAGAACAAAATTGGAGGGATCACAATACCAGATTTCAGGTTATACTACAAAGCCACTGTAATCAAAACAGCCTGGTACTGGCACAAGAACAGGCATATAGACCAGTGGAACAGAACAGAGAACCCAGAAACGGACCCAAGACAATATCCTCAATTAATATTTGACAAAGGTGGCAAGAGCATACAATGGGGTAAAGACAACCTTTTTAATAAATGGTGTTGGGATAATTGGACAGCTACATGCAGAAAAATTAAACTAGACCATCAACTTACACCATACACAAGAATAAACTCAAAATAGATAAAAGATTTAAATGTGACTCATGAATTCATAAAAATCCTAGAAGAAAATGTAGGCAACAAAATTTCAGACATCATACGCAGCAGAATTTTCACGGATACATCACCTGAGGCAGCAGAAACAAAGGAGAAAATGAACACATGGGACTACATCAAACTAAAAAGCTTCTGCACAGCAAAGATACAATCATCAAAATGGAAAGGCAACCCCCTGTATGGGAGAGCATAATTGCCAATGACATATCAGATAAGGGGTTAATTTCCAATATAGAGAGAGTGCTCATACAACTCAACAAAAGGAAGACAAAGAACCCAATTAAAAAATGGGCAGAGGAACTAGACATGTCTCCAAACAGGACATACAAATGGCTAAGAGACATATGAAGAAATGCTCAACATCACTAATCATCAGAGAGATGCAAATTAAAACAACAATGAGGTATCTCCTCACACCTGTCAGAGTGGCCGCCATCAACAAATCATCAAACAAGTGTTGGCAAGGGTGTGGAGAAAAGAGAACTCTAGTACACTGCAGATGGGAATGCAGACTGGGGCAGCCACTATGGAAAACAATATGGTGTTACCTCAAAATATTAAAAATTGAACTTCCATTTGACCCAGTGATCCCACTTCTAGGAATATACCCTAAGAAGCCTGAAACACCAATCAGAAAGTATATGTGTACCCCCATGTTTAGAGCAGCACTATTTACAATAGCTAAGATCTGGAAATGACTCAAATGTCCATCAGTAGACAAATGGATAAGAAGGCAGTGGTACATATACACAATGGAGTACTATGCAGCTGTAAGAAAGAAAGATCTCTTATCCTTTGAGATGACATGGAAGGACCTGGAAAGTATCATCCTAAGCGAAACAATCCAAAGAGAGAAAAACAAGTATCATATGATCTCAATTATTTGTGGAATATAATGAACATAACAGTCTGAAGAACGGGGTAGTCCCAGAGATATGGAAGTGGGGTACAGACTGACAACCCTCAGAAGAGGGGATGATGGGGGAACGATAAACCACAAAACTTATATGCATGTGTGAATAAACAATGGACATGGACAACAACTCTGGGACAGGGTGGGGAAGGAGGGAGAGGGGGGAATCAGTAGGGAAAAAGGAGAAACATCTGTAACAAAAATTAAAATAAATAAATAAATAAACAAACAAATAAACAAACAAACAAATAAAACTCCAAGAGTTTATATGAAACTAATAAAGACCACAAATAGCCACAATAATCTGGAAAAAGAAGATTAAAGTAGGAGGGATCACAATACCGGACATCAGATTGCACTACAAAGCCATTGTAATCAAAACATCCTACTACTGGCACAAGAACAGGCATATAGATCAATGGAACAGAACTGAGATCCAGAAATTGGCCCAGGATACTATACTCAATTAATTTTTGACAAAGGTGGCAAAAGCATACAATGGAGCAAAGACTTCCTCTTTAATAAATGGTGTTGGGAAAATTGGTCTGCTACAAGCAACAAATGAAGTTAGACCAGCAACTTACACCATACACAAGAATAAACTCAAAATGGTTAGAAGACTTAAATATGACTCGTGTATCCATAAAAACCCTAGAAGAAAATGTAGGCAACAAAATTTCAGACATCACAGGCAGTAGAATTTTCACTGGTACAATGCCGAAGGCAAGAGAAACAAAGGAAAAAGTTAATAGATGGGACTACATCAAACTAAAAAGCTTCTGCACAGCAAAAGAAACAACCAGCAAAATGGAAAGGAAATCCACTATATGGGAGAGCATAATTGCCAACGATACATCAGATAAGGGGTTCATCTCCAAAATATGTAGAGTACTCATACAACCCAACAAAAGGAAGACTAAGAACCCAATTAAGAGATTGGCAGAGAACCTAAATAGACACCTCTCCAAACAGTACATACAAATGGCTAAGAGACATATGAAAAAATGTTCAATGTCACTAATCATCAGAGAGATGCAAATTAAAAGGCCTATAAGGTATCACCTCATACCTGCTAGAATGGCTGCCATCAACAATCACACAAGTGCTGGCGAGGGTGTGGAGAAAAGGGGACTCCTAGTACACTGCTGGTGAGAAGGCAGACTTGTGCAGCCACTATGGAAAACAATATGGTGTTACCTAAAAAAATTAAAAATTGAATTGCCATTTGACCCAGTGATTCCACTTCTAGGAATATATCCTAAGAAGCCTGAAACACCAATCAGAAAGAATATATGTACCCCTATGTTCATAGCAGCACTATTTGCAATTGCTCTTGAAATAGCCCAAGTGTTCATCAACAGATGAGTGGATAGAAAAGCTGTGGTACATATACACAATGGAACACTATGCAGCTGTAAGAAAGACAGATCTCTTATTCTTTGAGATGACATGCAGGGATCTGGAGAGTATTATGCTAATCAGAGAAAAACAAATATCATGTGATCTCACTTATTTGTGGAATATAATTAACAAAAAAAAAGCTGATGAACAAAATAGACCCAGTGAGATATAGGGTACAGACTGACAAACCTCAGAAGAGGGTCGGGGAGAGGGACGAGATAAACCAAAAAACTTATGTGCATGTATGCATAACCAAGGGATATAGACAACAATGCTTGTGGGGTGGGGGCGGGATAGGGAGGAGGGTGTCTCGGAGGGAAAAGGAGAAACATTTGTAAGAATAAAAAATAATTTTAAAAAATCTTAAAAAATAAAAGTGTTATCAGACTCACCTAGAAACAGATGACTCATGCAAGGCAGGCTAGTTGAGGTTTTAATAAAGGGACTGTTTTCAAAGACCTTGTAAAACCAACAACAATTACTGCAGTGCTTTAGTTGCCACCTATAGGAGTGGAGGGTCTCAAGAAAGGGAGATTCTGGGCGCTCCCAGAGAGTAGCAACAAGGAGAGACCAACCCCTTAACAAAAAAAAAATAGCTCTTTTTTTTCTCCAGATTCTGAGGCATCCCTGAGCCCATAAGGGTAACACATCTGCACTATGCTTTCTAAGGCCAGTTACTGCCAATAGCCTAGGTCTGGCTATAGATTCCAATGGTCACCTAGTGACCAGTGACAATTTAGCTCTGCTAGGGTCTTTGGGGAAGCAGACACCAAGATGAGTTAAAAGTAAAAAGGTTTATTAGGGGTAACACTCATGAAAGAAAAATGCAGGAAGAGGAAAGGGGTGGTAGGGGGTTGGCAGTCAGAGAAGCAGTACACTTCTGCCAGAGGAGTGGTGGGAGGGAGCAGCCAAGCACTCCTGCGGCATCATGCTCAGTCACTGCCTTGGCTGCCCCAAGCTGAAGCAGACCCAAAGGAGTTAATAACTGGAGTCTGTCAGTTAACCTCATGCCTAGTGAATGGACCAGTGCTTTCATGGTGGCCCATCAAAGCAGTGAACCTCCATTCCTGCCACACTAACCTTGGTCCCAAGCAAAGGGAAACAGTCCTTCAAGGATATGGGTCAGGTGTGGATATGTCCTTCTCAGAGTTTGCATCTATGCTAGGCAGTATTGCCCACGGAGATAGGGCCTCTTTAGAGTAGCAACATGCATCAATATCACTCACTGTGGTACATTTTTCTCATTCTATGTGTCCTGGTTCCTCTTCCCCAACAAGGTGTGAACTCTTCAGCGCTACAGATTGTGTCTCACTTCCTCAGCATCCCTACAGAGACCAGCCTATGGCTGAACACAGAGTGAAAGCCCTGAGGTGGCTTCTCACTGCTTCCTCATCCAGGCTCCAGTGTGTCCTGCCCCTCCATTCTGAAGCACAGCAATTTGAAGGCTCCATTAGAACAGGCCATACCTTAAGCCCCTGTGGGGCTCACTCTCAGGGTAAGTTTCTGACAGAGGAGCACTTACCCCCTACTCCCTTTCCAATCTTTCATTGTTCTAGTCACAAATTAAAGAGTAAAGCAGGCAGTGCTTAGGAAAAGCACACCTCCCTTGCAGGAAAACATTTGACAATCGGTTCCCATGGCAACAGGCTTCCTTTTAAAGAATTATTTGTTCAATGTGCCAGACCTCGCCTTTCTCTTCTTGGGAGTAATGGCCAGCATTGAAAATGAGATCAGACAAGGCAAGTACAGAATATTCAGACAAGCCATGGGGCAGCTCTCACAAGCCCAGGAGGGCAGGTCTCAGTGTCTTTGTAGGGCCATACTTGTGTTCACCAAGGGGTTAAAAGATGCCAATGATGAGGTTTGAAAAAAGCTGACAGCAGCATTAACTGGCACTATTTAGAGCAACATAGCAAGTGTTCTGTAATTTTGGAAAAGGACCCAGTTTGCACATTCTGAGCAACAGTGCTTGCTCTAGCTTCTTATCCCTTTTTTTTTGGGGGGGGGGAGGTTCTTTGTCAGCCTTGGCACATGGACAGTGCTTTCCCCTCAGAGGAGAGCTGACCCTGGCCCCTGCCCCTCATCCTCATGACCAGTGAAAATTTACCTCTGCTAGAGTCCTCAGGGACGCAATGTGTTTAACTGAATAAGTGGGATAAGGTGTGTGTGTGTTGTAACCCAGGAGAGTCATCCTCACTCAGACATCAAGTAATTTTGAATATTAGGAGCTTTATTACCTGCGCAGGGACTGCAGCCAACCTACACAGAGGAGAACTGCAGCCCCGAGCTCAGGGTGAGGGTTGCTTATATAGGACAGGGGTTACTCAAGAGTTTAGCAGAACAAGCAAGCTACATGTACAGAAGCAGATATCAGCAGTTAGTAACTGCACAAGTTGTTTGTTTTATATTTCTTAACATTTACTAAACCCTAGCCTTGAATGCCTCATTGTCCCGTCTGGCATCTCCTGATTAGTTAAGCTCATGGTCAATACCCTTGTGGTCATGGCTGATGCATCACTTCAAGAATTTTTGCAAAAACAACTCAGGTTCAAGGAACCCAGGAGAGGTTCCTTCTTCTGGCGGATGGAGAATTACTGGGTTATAACATGTGTTTCCTACAGAATCACTGCTTCTTTCCTTTTATTCTGCAGTTCTCATGAGAGAATATCTCTTGTATCTTTCCCTAACTGAAACATCCAAGAAAGGAAATCCTGAGGACTGTTAACAACCTGCCCAAGCTGACATATTGTAAAGCCATCATCACATTTAGCATTGAATAAAAAAATGGTTAGACATGCAATAATGCAGGAAAATGGGGCCCATAAATAGAATAAAATATAAAAAGACTTAGATGTGACAGAGATGATGGAATTAGTAGAAAAGACTTTAAAAGAGCCATCATAAATATGCTCAATAATTTAAAGAAAAACCTTAAGATAATGAGATAAATAGAAGGTATAAATAAAAAGAAACAAAATGGAATACCTAGAGTTGAAAAATAAAATATCTAAAGTGAAAAATTCACCAAATGGGCTTAAATTAGACACTACAGAGTAAAAACAAAAACAAAACAAAACAAAAAAAACTATAAAATTGAAGACATAGTAAAGAAACTCTAAGTAGAAGCACAGAAAGGGAAAAAATGGCTGGGAAAAACAAACAAACAAACAAACAAACAAACAAACAAACAGAAAACCAGTTACTAATAGGACAATATCAAATAGCCTGACTTATTTGTAACTGGCATTCCAAAGAGGAAGTGAGATCAGAAAATAATTAGAAAATAGTAAAATATTTTCCCAATTTGTTGAAAAATATAAACCTCGATATTCAAGAAGCTCAATGAACAACAAGCAGAATAAATAAATACCCCATCAGAGTACATAATAATCTAATTGATGAAAAGCAGTGAGAAAGAGAAAATCTTACAGAAACTAAAAAAAAAAAAAAAGCACATTATATACAAGAGAACAAAAGTAAAACTTACTACAGAAGTTCTGTCAGAAATAGTGCAAGACAGAAAAAAATGACATCTAATGTGCTGAAATAAAAAATTGCTAACCTAGAACTCTATATGTAGTGAAAATATTCTTGAAAAGTAAAGATTAGCCCTGGCCAGATTGGTTCAGGGGTTAGAGCATTGGCCCAAAGACCGAAGGGTCTCAGGTTCAATTCCTGGTCAAGGTCACATACCTCAGTTGCAGGTTTGATCTCTAGCCTTGGTCAGCCTCGTGTAGGAGGCAACAAATTGATGTGTCTCTCTCACATCAATGTTTTTTCCTCTCTCCTTCCCTCCTCCCTCTCCCTTCCTCTTTCCCACTCTATTTAAAAGAAAGAAAAAAGAGGGGACTTCCGGTCAAGATGGCGGTGTAGGTAAACACGGTATCACGTCCTCCCACAACCACATCAAAGTTACAACTAAACTACAGAACAACAATCATTCAAAACCACCTGAAATCAAGCTGAATGGAAGTCCTACAACTACGGAATTAAAGCAGCAGCCACATCCAGACTGGTAGGAGGGGCACAGGCGCGAGAGGCGGCAGCCGGGCTGGTCCCACACCCAAGTGTGGCGGGTAAAAATTAGGAGGCTCCCTCGGCTGGGAAGGTCCTTCCTGAGGACTGAGGGGTCCCCGTCCCACACCAGGTACCCCGCTCAGGGTTCCAGTGCCAGGAAGAGAAGTCCCCATAACTTCTGGCTGGAAAAAACAGCAGAAACTGAGGCTCAGGGAGGTTGAAGTGGCTGGAGCCCCAGGCAGCACCTTAAAGGGCCCGCGCATGGACTTATCAGACTCTCTCCCTCTAAGCTTGGAGGGGAGGCAGCTTGAGGGGCACCAGAGACATACAGGGAAGAACTGAGCTGTTTGGCACTGGAGCGAGGGCTGGAGAGGGGGCTTTCTCCGGGACAAATGTGCTGTCAGAGGCCTTTGTTCCTTTGGTGAGCCCTTCCCTGGGGCAGCAGACAGTCTCCATATCTGGGACTCTAACAACCTGGCGCACACTGGTAGCCCCACCCTGGTGACTCCCTGAGGCCCCGCCCTGCCCCACCCAACTTTCAAGCCCACCCAAGCTGTTGCCACTTGCTTAACCATAGGATTGGCCTGTCTTGGATCCTGTTTCAGGTTTTTCCTAAATTCTTTCAAACGAGCAGCATCGGGTCTCAGCGAGCCCCATACCTCTCATTAAGTAATACACTGAAACAAACACAGGGAGGCAGCCAAAATGAGGAGACAAAGAAACAGGTCCCAAATGAAAAAACAGAACAAAACCCCAATAAAAGAACTAAGCAAAATGGAGATAAGCAACCTAACAGATACTGAGTTCAAAATACTGCTTATAAGGATGCTCAATGAACTTAGTGAGAATCTCAGTGAATTTAGGGAGGGCCTCAAGAGCATAAAAAAGGACCAGTTAGAAATCATGGATACACAGTTAGAATTGAAGGAGGCAGTAACTGAAATAAAGAATAATTTACACAGCTTCAATAATAGAGTACGTAAATCCAAGGAACAAACCATCGATTTGGAATATAAGGAAGCAAAAAATGCCCAATCAGAACAGCTAAAAGAAAAAAGAATCCAAAAAAATGAGGATAGTGTAAGGAGCCTCTGGGACAACTTCAAGCGTGCCAACATTCGCATCTTGGGGGTGCCAGAAGGAGAAGAGCGAGAACAAGAAATCGAAAACCTGTTTGAAACAATAATGGCAGAAAACTTCCCTAACTTGGTGAAGGAAACAGACATACAAGTCCAGGAAGCACAGAGAGTCCCAAACAAGATGAACCCCAAGAGGCCCACACCAAGACACATCATCATCAAAATGGAAAAGGTTCAAGACAAAGAGAGAATCTTAAAAGCAGCAAGAGAAAGGCAGCTAGTTACCTACAAAGGAGTTCCCATTAGGCTGTCAGCTGATTTCTCAAAAGAAACTTTGCAGGCCATAAGGGAGTGGCAAGAAATATTCAGAGTGATGAAAACCAAGAACCTACAACCAAGATTACTCTATCCTGCAAAGCTGTCATTTAGAATCGATGGACATATAAAAATTTCCCAGACAAGAAAAAGTTAAAGGAGTTCATCACTCTGAAACCGTTATTATATGAAATGATGAAGGGTCTTTTTGAAGAAAAAGATAAAATGTATGAACAAACAAAATGGCAATGAATACATATCTATCAACAATGGAATCTACCAACAAAATGAACAGGTAGAACAGAAACATTCTCATAGATACAGAGAACATTTTGTTGGTTGCCAGTTCCGAGGGGGGTTGGGGGAATGGGTGAAAAAGGAGAAGGGATTAAGAAGCACAAATTCATTGCTAGACTGACAAATCTCAAAGGGAAAGGGGTTGGGGGGATGGGAAGAAATAAACCAAAGAACTTATATGCATAACCAATGGACACAGACAATAGTGTGGGAAAAGGTGGGAGGGGGGCGGGAGTGGGGAGGAGGGGGTCAATGGGGGAAAAATGTGGAACGTCTGTAATACATTTTACATCCAACAATAAAGATTTGAGAAAAATATAAAAATAAAAAAAGAACAGAAAGAAAAAAGAAAAAAAATAAATAGAAAAGTATCCTTGGATTAAAAAAAAAAAAGAGGAAACAGTCACTGGTACTGGTACTCACACCAGGTTTAGGAATAGTGCCTTTTCCCACCAACCAAAGTGGAAAGCCTCATAATTTATGAAGCATTGGGTAGAGTGCTCATAACGAGTTTGTCACAGTATTGGGGCAAAGTAAACCTAAGTGAAATTCTATACTGGTACTGCCTAACAATAAGAATCAAAAGGATAAAGTTGTTAGCAAGTAACTTATCCACATCCCAGAACAAAGTTAAAAAATATTTATAAGATTAAAAATATATATATCCAACTGGAAAATTTCACAATGTCTGGCAAAAATCACCAGGCATGCACAAAAGCAGAAAAATATGACTCATAATAAGGAGAAAATAAATGAAAACTGACCCAGACATGACTCAGAAGATAGA